GTTTTTATGAGAGTATAACATTATAACATGATATAAAACTCAAAAAAGTTGATTTTACATGATATTGCCCCTTTAAGGAATGTTCGGCCTTTACTTCCCAGATTATAGATTTTCTCCTCCTGTGTGACTAAAACTATGAAGAGCACAAGCAGAACTCAGAATTATAAAACTGACTGGACGCACTCCTTTGGTTTTAGTTTGCTTTACTGTTTTTGTTTGTGTGAAAAATGACGTGTGTGTGTGAGAGAGAGAGAGAGATTGTTTTTATTTATAATTAATATCACTATATTTTCCAGATTCACTTCATCACATCAGGTTGCTTTAACACTGCCTGTACAAAAACTTCACCCTCTGGTTGTTTTCTGCTTTCATTGGGTCAGATATCAAGTCACAGTGAATATTAAATATTATAAATGGGTATTTTTAACAAAATAAATAAATAAATAAAAAGTTGAAAAGTAGAAGTCGGGGAGTGGATACAAAAGGATTTTTAAATACCCTCATTTATATGAAACATTTATGTTTAATATGTTTAATCTTTAATCTTCAGCAGTTTTATTATCATATAAAATTATTAGTTGGTATTACTCTGCATTTGATTTGACTTTGACATTGTAAGTTTTCTCGTTTTCCACTTTTTCTAACCAACTTATACCAACCTTGATTGATTTCTGACAGTAGTAAAAGAGTAAAACATCCAGAAGGTTTTTAGAGGAACTGCACTCGTAACGTTTCTCCTACTGGTTTCATGAATCAGGTTCTCGTTGTTGTCTGACCCATTTCACTGCTATTCTCAAATAGCAGTAAAGACAAAATAATAGATTGATTATGAAATATTATTGTCCGCTATTAATGTTTCTACGATTTTACTAAATTAACAGATGACGGAACAAGCAGCAGCTTAACTAATATTCATTTAAAATCTTTTAAACACGTGGGTTTTATGAAGGCCTCCTGCCGGGTGCCACTCTGAGGATCTGATTTTGTTTTATTAATATTTTTAGATTATTTTCTGTTTTCAGTTTCTTTAAAAAATTATTTTCTGTTTTCGGTTTCTTCACTATGCTTGTGTATTGAATGTTGTGTTTGAGGTTGGTGTAACAGTGATTTATTTAATTTAATTTTATTTGTTTTGTTCTCTGCAGTAAAACATCTTTTGAACTGCACACCTACAATTTTAAAATACCGTTTTTCAGCCAGGCCTATTGTAGAGGAATTTATTATTATTAATTTTCTTTCCGGTTGAAGATTGTTGCCACATTGTTTGTTAAATACAAAACTACATTGACTTCCACTTATCTCAGACTGGAAACACGTCTGGTTGTGTTCAAAGGAAAGATTTGAGTTTACTATACAAACTGCATCTTTTAGTGGAGCTCTGTCACAGGCATTGATTGCTGTTTGGAAGTGTTATGAACAAACAATAGATCACTTTTTGAATGACTTCAATTTGGAGAAAGAGTTAAATTCTGACCAGACTGATGAGCCAGCACCAAAACAACTAAAACCAAAGTGGATCGCTGCCCTTTAAACATGTTAAACATGTTATTAATGTTAATATAAATGTTATTTATGTTAAATATTTGATTTTTGACATTGTATCCACATCATGATAAATCCCAGTTAACTATAAATTCTTGTTAATAATTGTGAAAGTGTTTAAGAAATAGCATTGGCTTAAACCACTATAAAAACAAATTTATGATTCGACTTTACTCATAGCTGGAATCTGATTGGTTGGTTTTTAGTCCTGTCAGAATAAAAAAATAAGCTTTAATTTTTCTTTAAAGTCTCACTTTAAAACAGTCAAAATATAACTTAAAGCATGATTTAAAAGAAACTCATTTTATTTAACCAAAAAGTAAGCTCCCATGATGCATTTCAGCAAAGAACCTGAAAGTTTTGAGCCGGTCTGCTGCGGCCACCTTCTTTCATGGTTGCTGTGTGTTATGGGTGCAGTTGTCACATTTTTATCTTTTCTACGCAAAATATAAAGATTGTAAATCAAAACTGGGTTTTAAAGTTTTAATTTAGTTGTTTCCTGGTGGTTTACTGCAGGCAGAAGTTACAATGTACGAAAAATACTGATAATACAGACATTTTAAAAGAGTAATAAATATTTGTACATTTGCTTAGAAATTACAGAACAAGTCATTCCCTATTAATATGTCCAGTACAGAGATTTTTGACTTCACTTTTTTAAACATTTGTTATTTTTGATGCTTTGTGTGACAGAAAACTCAGAAATTTTCATTTCTAATCTTTTATTTCCTAAATGCAGTTTTTGAAGAAGTTAAGACATTAACTTAGGTTGGGGAGCAGGACCAGGCCTCTCACCTGCAGCAATCAGTCGTTGTCTATTTAAACTCGCCTCACCTGGTGTCTGCCCTTAGCTCGCTGTCTCGACACCCACCCTCCCCTTTCACCCCACTTAAGCCCCTCTGTAAGGCCTCATTGCATCACCTTCTTCACTCCCTTCATCCCTTCATCTCTTCATCTCTTCATCCCTCCATCTCTGCTTCTTTCTTTCTACTCCATCCCTACCTCAAACTACCTCCTAATCCATTCCTTTTCAGGTTCCATCTGGGGGGTCTAAAGCAGGCTCAGGAAAGCATCCTTCCTGGAGACCATGCCCCACTCTGTCTTCTCCTCAAGCCTCTTTCAACGTACCTCCACAGACGCCTCNGGATCTGTTGAAGTCACTCCTCTAGTTTGGGGGTCACAGCACCAAGTGTTCCAGTGACCACAGGGACTATTGATGCTTTGACTCTCCATAACTTCTTTTTTTCGTTTGGTGTTGCTCCAGATTTTTCTTCTTGATGTTTCAGTCACGTATGATCTCTACATCTATCACTGCTGACTTCTTCTCATGTTTGTTGACCACCATGTCCTGCTGGTTCGTATCACCTGTTTTTCAGTCTGGATCAGGAAGTCCCACGTACCTTAGGTGGTGACTCTCACTTTGACTGTGGGACCTCCAGTCCATATGTTGCGTGAGTATATAGCCTATGAATAAATTATGTGTGCATGCATATGTGTGTGTATACTGTTTTTATTTAAGTGTACAAATACATTGTACCAAGAAAAGTGCATCCAGTTCTTTATAGTATGTATATATATATACAGTATATATATATAGAGAGAGAGTATTTGCCTCTGTGATTATTTCCATTCATAGTGAAGCGTCGATGACCAGGGCTCKTTGTACTGCCTTGTGTTGGTTTGGTCAGATCATTAGACACGTGTGTGATCTATTTTGAATTGCTGTGTTTCAGTTCAGACAGCAGGGCTTTGTTTGTGTTTCTCTTTTGGTGCCTGTGCTAATCATTGTGGAACCCATGTGAATAAAAGGGCAAAATGTGTTTTAGTYGGTGAAAATAGGTCTGTAAGTTGTGTCTAACTGGGTGAAACGTGTTTAGTGTTCTGACAAAAGAGTGGCCATTTTAATAAATGGTTTCAGGGAAGTGAGAATTTGGTTCAAACAACTGGGTTTAGTGTTTTAGCAACTGAGAAAAAACTGTAATTACAAGAGATATTAATGCTGTTATCTTTAGCAATTAATCCAGTCTGTCTTTTGGCTCATTTTATTATTGTTTTTTTACTTCAAAATGGGTTCAAAACATGATTGTAGTGATCTTAAACAAAAGTTATTTTCTCAATAAAGGGGTCCATGTTTTTATAAAATTGTCCTTGTGAACCAAGCGGTAATAAAAAAGTCTCTGAACAAGACAGACCAAGGCTGTAATGACCCTCAGGTAGGAGGGCAGTGATTAATCTGCATGTGAACTGAGCTGCATAAACAGAGCAGTTCATGTCTTTTAAAGCTTGGAACTTCACACTCTTCWGTTTTGAATGGATAAAACTTGCCAGATGGGTAGTGCAATGTCCTCATCTACAAAATGAGAGTCCTATTCTTTGTTTATTAAACTGTTTTTGGAGAAAAGGCGATGAATGATGTATAATGTTCCTCTTCCAAACTGATCCTAAAACATAGAGATAAGTTAACAGGAAAACAACTTGGAACAACAAAATACTTTAATTAAAACAGGAAGTGTCACAGTACAGGTACTGATCATAAAATTAGAATATCATAAAATAGTTGATTTATTTCAGTAAGTCTATTCAAAATGTGAAACTTCTATATTCATTCATTACACACAGACTGATATATTTSAAATGTTCTTTTAATTTGGATGATTATAACTGACATCTGATGAAAACCCCAAATTCAGAAATTTTGAATACTGTGAAAAAGTTCAAGATAATGCAGAAACTGTCAGGAAAGTTGCTAAAATTACTCCATAAAAAGCATTTTTGAAGAAAAACATTGATATATTTATAAAAAGGAATAAACCGTTATCACAATATAAACACAACAGACACATCAACACACCTGCAGGTGTCTTGTTTGACTTACCTGTTGCACATAAAGAGAGGAAGTGACATTAGATGACATCATGTAACCGGAGACCCATGTGGAGGCACATCACAGCACAAGGTGTAACCCAAGACCCTGTTCTTTTGTTCACAACTCACAGAAAGCAGAGCGAAACCTCAGCTGCTGCTCTTTGGGGAAGTAGGGTGMGGACAAGTAGATGTAGTGGGTGGAAGTGAAACTGTGGCCTTTATTTCAACAGTCATTCTGTCACTTAGCAGTCTATAGACATGGACAAGTTTAAGACGGTTCTGAACATTGCCAGCAAACAAACCAACCTTGGATTTGGAGCGGTGGCCCTGATGACAGCTGGGGGAGAGCAGATTTTCTCTTCTGTAGCCTTCAGGTGTCCGTGCAATGAGCTGAATTTCTACTATGGCATGGTCTTCCTGCTGGTTCCTGCCTTGGCTCTGTTGCTGTTGGGTTACATTCTGAGCAAAAAGACGTGGAAGATGTTAACGGGTCTGTTGTACCACCGGGAAAAGCTGGGCAAATGGAAACACCTGTCTGTCATCATCAAGACCTTCATCCAGGTCAGTGTCACTGCGATGGTCGCTCCGTCCAGCTGGATCGCCGTGGCTCTGCTCAGTGGGAACTATTTCGAGTGTGCGATGACTGGGATCAACGTGACGGCTTACAACCAGCATGTGTGCAAGGAAAAGGAAGCTACAGAGGACTGTGTAAAGAAACTGCACAAGTTCCCCTGTGAGAGAAGCAACGATGAGGTTCTGAAAACACTCAGAGCTCAGTCTCAGGTGAGCAATCTGCTYATGTGCCCCACTTTAACACAAATACCACAATCTTATACTTAGAAACAAAAGTAGTTTTTTACAACAATGTTTTTTAACTATCTACTTATCAGACTGAAAGATTTTAATGGCTCAACGTAACTCATAAAGTCACCTTTTTAAAAAGACTTTTCACATGTTTGAAACTACAGCTGCAGACAGGATTTTGTGAGTATCAGAACACATTCAGACTTGCCCTTATTTATAAATCCATGTACAAAAGGTGCTTCTTACCTCATGGTTGGAACTTCACCTACTGGTAAAGTTTTGTATTGTAGCAGAAAGCATGATGTATTTTTGGGAGTCAAAAAAAAAAKCTCTTCTATCTCAGAAGTCAGAAATTCACATCTCGGAAGGATAAAAACATCCAYCTTAACATTACTTCGGCTGCAAAACAGTTTATAAAGTTTATTTCTGKTTATTAAGCCTGAGGCAGCCAATTCTGTTTTATCTGCTGTAAAAAAAAACTTTTCAAATTAGAACTCTGACTTTGTGTCACAATTTGTTGATGGCAAAACCCACTCATGCAAAAATAAATTAAAGAGTTRGCTATAAACATAACGTAAAAACAAWTGTTGCTGTGTCAGCAGAAAAGCAAAGCAACTCATGAGACTCAAGGAGTCAGAGCCGAACCTGACAAGGCATGAAGCACAATGGTGAACCACTAGATGAGAGCAAAACCTGAGTATGAATGGGCTGATGCTGATAAGTAGAGCAAAGACACCTGAGCAACAGGGAATAGGTGTGGGAAGGGGGRGTGGCTAAGGTGCAGAGGCTGACTGTGGAAAAGAAGATGATGGGACAAACGAGATGAATTAACACAAAGAAATAAAACTAATGAAAACACAAGGAGCAAAACAACAAGAGGTTCAACATTACAATACAAACCAACTACAATGACTCAGGATCCTGACAGTGGGTCTGGATTCAATTCTCCAGTCAAGAACTGGAATCTCAGAATATCTCAGCCCCTACACATTCAGTCATGGACCACCCCAGCGCACTGAAGGTCATAAATTGAAGGTGCCAAKWAAACCACATCATCTGAGGTTCTCAAACCTCTACACAGCTGCCTCTAACTTCAGTTTATGAACACAAGCAGGATCTGCAGTCTGCCCCCTCACTTGGAATGAGCTCACCTTTGTGCCAAGGATGCAGATACAGCTCTTAAGAAGGATAAATCAAATGTGACCTTGGTATTCCTACTCTTGAAGCCCCCCCACACAAAATGTCTCACATCTTAAGCCTTCTCCAGATCCACTAAACACATGTAAACTGGACAGTCCAACTCCCGTGACCTCCTAAAAGATCTGGTCCACAGTTCCATGATCCAGACAAAAGCTGTCCTGCTCCTCGGTGGATTTCAGGTTAGATGATTTGTTGGAGCCTCCCTTCTAGCATCAAAAAGTAGASTTTCCCCTGGAAGCTCTGATTTCTAGGTAGTTAAAAATTCACTACTTTCACTAACAGTTTTTCAGAAGGTGAGCCCAACTCTATCTGATAGTAATGAACACCAGCTCCTTTTCCACCAGWGAGCTGATGTTCAGCTTTAACACCTAGAATCATCAGTGGCCCAAACTCTCCCGCCCCTCAGTCCACATCACACCACAGGTGGTTCGGCCCGTGTGGAAGTTTCTTTGGGCTGACCACAGCTGAGTCCCAGGAGCCAAGGCTCGGCCATCAAGTGGTGTTGCTCCTATCAAGGTATTAGAATTTGACCCATTTCCTGAGACCCGTTTGTCATGGGAGACCCTGCCATGGGCTGAGACCCTGGATGACACAGACACCAGGATGGGTGTACATAAATCCCTCTAGATCTAGGTGGTAATTTGACAGATCGTTTCAYAAACATGCAGGTAAACTGGCGATTCTTTATTGACCAATGGTGGGAGTTTGAATGGTTGGTTCTGTGATGGACTAACATGTTCTCATGTTGGCCTCGTAACATATTGACGCATCCGTACTTGCCGCCCGCGGCTTTTCCAGGTTGTGTCACAGGATTAACGGTTAACTTTAGGGTCTGTGGTTAACATGAGGGATCAGGATTAATGGTTAATTTTAGGGTATGTGGTTAACATGAGGGATCAGGATTAATGGTTAACTTTAAGGTCTGTGGTCACAGATAATACACTGCTCAAAAAATAAAGGGAACACGTAAACAACGCATGCTAACTCCCGATCTTAATCAATGAAATATTCGCATTGAGTACTTTGTTCTGTACAGAGTTGAATGTGCTTCACAAAAGTTTCATTTACTTGGACTTAGCGTGTGTTGTTTAAGTGCTCCCTTTATTTTTATTTTTTGAGCAGTGTAGTTAATTTGAGAGACTGGGGTCATGGATAGGCTGTACATAGCTAATATATGTTAAATTTAGGGTCTGGTAAAATGGTTAACATGAGGGATCAGGGTTATTGGTTAACTTTAGGGTCTGTGTTCAGGGACTCGTCCTCTTCCACCTCATCTCGTACAGAATGAGATGAGGCGCGGGGTACCCCCACTCGTCAACATGTTGACGCAGGGGGCATGAGAACGGGCTCGATGGACTGGTGGTCTGTCTAAAAACAAATCCAAACTTTTGTGTATACAGTAGAAGACATTTTCAGTTCAGTCATGATGAAATGACCAGTTTGACACCAACAGTTTGTCTTACAGTCCAAAAAAACAGACATTTTATTCTGATTGTATCAACACACACAGAAGTTTTATTCTCAGTCATTCAGAWCATGGTATTAAATGCATGTTATTTATTATATTTTGTCTRAARCATAACACCACTTTATGACAATTTYTTTTAAAAAGTGCTGACTTTGTAGTTTTGTTGTTYACTGCAGATTCTGGGTTGGCTGGTCATCACCGCCATCATGTTGTCCAGCCTCTTGTTTATCTGCGTCGCTCGCTGCACTTCGCCCATCAGCTACCAGCAGCTGAAGTTCTGGAGAGTGTACGCTCAGGAGGAGAGTGATTTGATGGATTCATATACCAACAAACACGCCAAACTTCTTGCCGAYCGGAACCTGAACAGCTTTTTCAACGAGACGAAACCTGAAAACATTACMACTCCTTCCAACAAGGCCTGGGAGAAGATCTCTGCTCTCTATACATTCAGCACCAAAGACCACTACTACAGCACCTTACATCGACACGTAGAAGCCAACTCACAGACTGAGACTGAGATGAGGTTGATGTCTGTCAGGTCTAATGAGTCCACTGACAATCCTGTTGTACTTCACTTTGTGGACGGTGGGATGATGCCAATATGAGGAGGATAATCTGTTCCAAATTCATGTTCAGGTAAAAACGTGTTTTTTATTGATGATTTGATACCCCTTTTTGGTTTTTAGCTTTCTAAATACCAACAACTCTTTCAAAATAAAGGAGCCTTCCTCAGATCAGAGCTGTTTGGGTGGGCTCATGGTAACCGTTGGGGGGTGGGATCATTATGGGATGTTCAGAAAAGGTGACTTACTCTCTCTTTATTTAATTTTAATGAGCCATTATTACATTATTAGCCCTCGAGGTGAGGTGAAACTCTAGGGGCCGGTTTCGCACTCTGGGCTTAAATAAAACCAGGACTACACTAATCTGGTCTAACTTAATCCACACTAATCCAACTGCTTTCTGAGACGTTATTTAACTTCAGATTTACTAGTTCCAGACTACAGAGTCTCTGACTAAGGTAATCAAGGATTAGACAGATCATGTGTTGGAAAGTGAATTAGATTAACAATCTGCACATGGTGCAAAGGTGAGGTTTCTCTGAAAACCTGGGGTGGCACTTTCCTATTCTACATTTTAACAGTCTGTGTGTTTGGAACAGGAGTTTGACTTCTGACTAAGCATGGATAAAGGAAAAAAGAAAGTGTTCAAAAAACCTCAGTGAACGTGATAAGATACTTTTGAAGGAAATTGTTTCTAAACATCCCATAATTGAGGACAAACATCACGATTCAACCACAGAAATAAAAAAAAAATGAAACTCATGGACTGCAGTTGTGAATAAATATAACTCGAATGAAAAAGTTACCAAGAGAAACCTCCAACAGATTTAGGCAAGATTTAATTATATTATTTACAGTGCACAGATTCTTCTAATTACTCACAATAAAATGGATGTTTGCTCATATGAGGCCATATATTGCAACATTAGAATACAGTTGAAGAAAACAGCAGCCATTGCTCGTAGGGAGCATTTCAATACAGCTGGGAGACCCCCAGTTAGACCACCTATGACCTGGAGGATATGTTGACTGGATGATTGAAAATCAACAACCATTTGCCAGATTATCATTTGGACAGTTCAGGTGGGGAAACTCTTCAAC